TGGACATTCCTTTTTGTTTGCTGTTTCCAAGGACTTTGTGTGGATCTATGAGTTTTGTTCATGAAATCAGAATGTCCTATTTATGATACGCTGAGGAGCATCTTGTGTTCTCTCTCTCTGAAATGCTGTACATGTAGCCAATCTTCAGTCCTGTGCAGTTCATTTGACCACAATACTGAACCATACTGAGATTTGTTTCAATGTTGGAAGATGACATAAACAAACTCAGTGGTTTAAGGTGGGAAAAGTTTATGGAAAAACAGCTTTTCAAAAGCTTAAAATAATTTCATTGCTTTTATAGAATCTCAGAATCATAGAAAGGTTTGAGTTGGAAGAGACCCTAAAGTTCCAAGTCCCCTGCCACCGGCAGGAATGCCTTCTACTGCACCAGGTCACTCAGAGCCTCATCCAGCCTGGTCTTGGACACCTCCAGGGATGGAGAGGCCACAGTCTCTCTGGGCAAACTGTTCATAAAGTGATGAGGCACCAGTACCTTACAAGAAGTAAAGAATTTCTGCCTAAGATCTAAGCTAAACCTGCTCTCCTTCAGTTTAAGGGCATCCTGCTTTGTCTTATCACTGTGTAGAAAAGTATATTAAGTATTCCTAGAACACGTAATTGCCTGAAGACTGAATCTGTAATGAGGTAAAAAATGGCCATTCAAACAAATTTTAGCAGCAGAGGTACCTGGTCATTTAGGATTTTGTATGTTTAGAAATGGTTTCTGATCTCACACCTATCAAATAATTTTAAATTAATTAATTTGCAATATATCCAAAGTAAACATGTGGAGTAGTGCTTTTCCTGCCTCATTTTGTGTCTGATGAGGGACTTCTGCAGATCAGTACTGGCTTATGTGTTCATCTTCTGTTCTATGCTGTATTTTATTATTTGAAATCAATATTCCCTTAACATGCTATTAAATGTACAGGCATGATATGTAGATTTGGCCATTTATGGAAATGAAGATGAGTTCAAGTCTTGAGTCTGAATTGATGAATCCTAACTTCATTTAATAAAAACATGATTCAATGGTGTCTGTAGATAGTGGACACAAATTCTGCTAATTTAGAGGGAATTTATATGGATATTATAGTGGAGATATTTACCAAAATTTAAGAATCAAAAAGCTGGGCTTTAGGATCATTGAAATTATTTATTAGTTGAGACAGAAAGGCAGAAATTTGTGTAAGCTTATGTTCAGAATTGTTATGACAGAGTAGGGCTTTGGAAACTGTGCCATTTGTTCTGTAGTACCTTTGACATCTGGAAGATAGAATCAAAATCAATAGAAATTCTTTAAGGTTTTGATGTGCCTTGTGAGTCATAAAACCAACATGCAAAAGCAAGAAGAATGTTGAAGATCAATATGCCTGTCACAAGAGAACAAGCTGAAGGAATATTTTTAGATTAGGGGGTGTTTTCATGGACTTAAGCTACAAAAGTTAGAAAGGTCCAGAAAAGTAGAAAACTAGAAAACTAGAAAAGTAACACTCTACATTTTGTTCTTAAACTGACAATGATTGCTTCATTTTTCCTCAATCGAAAAAAAAAAAAAAAAAGAACTTTTCAGTTCTGCTGAATAAGCTTGGCAAGGAAAGCAGAGAGCCAAATGTAGACTTTCTTTAGACTCCACTGGGGAAAAACTTGAAATTTTGCTCTTGATTAGAGTCACAATGAAAGGTGCTACTGTGGTCCAGATCAAGTGTGCTAAATAGGAAAATATTGTTTGTGATTGTAGAAATAGAATATAATCATTTGAGATCCACAAGCAGAAGCTGATAAGGACAAAAATGTGATGTATTTGATCGTATTTTATTCCCTTGGAATTTGGACTTCAGTGTTGATTGTTCCATTTTGGGTACAACAATCCTAAATAGATTAATGGTATTTATGCACATTTATTTTCTATTAATCTGTCTTGGGGAATGGGAGTGGGAGGGAGGTATTTTGATATGTTTTCAGCAGCTATGATGCCGTCCTAAAGAATCCTTTTACTTTCTAAAACCAAGAGCATAGCATGGAAACCATTAGGAATTTGACATTAGAGGTCAGACAGTGTGGAGGCACTTGGAAAGCTTTCTATGGACATGTTTTGTCCTAGATATTTTTAGTTGGATGTCATAAACATAAAAACATCAGCAGAGCAGACAGGCATTTCTCAGAAATAATATTACAAAATTTTACCTGCATTGAAAAATCATTTGCTTACCTAGGTCTCTGCTATTATTGCTGTGTGCTATTGTAAAGATCATTAGAATATAAGAGGTTTTGGAGTCTATCTAGGAAAAATTTAGTCATCTGTGTCTTCACTCAGATCATCAACCTGTCTTTCATGTTTTGGCAACCTGTTTAAAAGGTTACACAAATGGTTCACTGATTAAATGAGCACATTTGCAAAAAAATTGCACATTTTTGAGAGTTAAATCAGTAAAAAGTAATAAAAAGGACTATGATAGCAATTAAAACTTTTTCTTCAACAAAGTAAAAAGCAAAAATTTATCTTTGTTTGTAAGACACTGAAGAATTTCCATGCTTCCTTAGGAGCATTTATTTTGCCCTAATATATTCATTAAATCAAGAATAGAACAAGTATGAAAACAATTTAGCTGTGTGGTTCTTCACAGTTTAGATCTGTTATCTGACTATGCAAGAGCTGAAACTTCTGCAATGTGCCAGACTTCAAACTCTTTGTTGTTCCTGTAAATATTTGCTGTGCATTCGTTACAGTAATAAAATCATTGAAACCGTAATATTTAACAATGATGGATTTTTGGCAAAGTGTTTGTTCCCAAGCATTGAAAAATCAAGAAAATCCCTCCAAATAATGATACACAATATTGTATTACTTTATTTGCCTGTCATCTAAAAGGGACAATTTATTTTTTTCTTATGTATTTACTTACTTTGAAAGTGGTGGTACCTAAAGACCCATGGAGGCTAAGAAAAATTAAGCTCTTTCAAATACATTATAAAATTGCAATGTTTTGCACTAGTGTTTAAAGAGTATTCTAATTCAGCTAAAGGGCTGTTATGGATTTGTGTAGATACAGGTGATAATTCAAAATGAGGGCATAGTGATGGCTGCTTTTTAATGGATCAACAAAAGATTATCATATTAAAAAGCCAGCTATATTGATGCCTGTCAGTTAATATATCCTATGATTTTACACTTTTTAATATTATGCGTACTTGCTCTACATCAATCAGAATTTTTACAATATGTCCGTTGAAGTATCTCACTTAGTCTACCTGGAAGTATCTTTTAGCACTAATTGATGGCTAACTTTGTTTGGTGGAAGCCACAGTTTTAGTAGTTTTGATTTGAGAACTATTTGAACCATAAAGGAAAATAAGCGAGTGAAGCTATTCAAAAGACAAACCACAAATATTGAATTACTGATTGTGTAAAAAGCAAGACTATGCTAATGAGATTACACCAGTCCTTTTTCTGTTACTTGAGACAGATCTAATTCTCTTATTTAAGCAAAGTGTTTTAAAGTTCAGTGTATTTGTACAACCCCCAAAGACACAGATTGTCTCAGACAGTTTTAATTCCCATTTTTGTAGTTTCCTATAATTGCTTGGATTAAATGTTGCCTTCAAGTCTTGGTCTTGGCAGCGAAATCAGGGGGAGTATATGACTTCTACAGGGGCTGTAACTTGGAATTTTTAGTGAGCGGTGAATCAGCCTGCTCATCAGAATCTCATATTACAGCAATTTTCAACATTTATATTAAGGAAGACTTGTTTAAAGTGGTGCTCTTACATCTCAAATTTTGGTCAGAGTGATTCAAATAGTCTTTTAAATAAGCACTTAAATATAACTTAAACGGATTTAAAAAAAAAAGTTTCAAATTGAAATTAAATTATTCACATCAAAGTAAGTTTATCTTTATGTCAATTAGAACTAAATTTAACTTAATTTGATTTAATAAATGTTGCACGAAATCTTGGCTGCTGCACGTGGTTACCAGGTGGTACTACCTAAAATTCTCCCTCCTACCCCATGCCTTTGTATTCTAGGACAGAACAGTCTTTTAGGGTGTTTCTGACTCAGGACCTATGCAGACAAAATATAGTGGCAGAAGCCTTTAAACTTACACCAGCTTTCCAGAACTGGCATCCTAACAGTGTTCTATTGTGTTTATTACATAATGTAATAAACATCAAGTAAACCATTTACTGTATGTGCTCATAAAAGCAGAACAATACCTAACTGTGCTCATAAAAGCAGAGATACCTAACTGTGCAATTTAACAAAATTAATTGTTCATATTAGCCAGATCTTCCAGCTTATTGTAGTATACAATGTAAAAATAATTAGGACCTAAATCTTTCTATATTGCCTGAGAGTAAGCTACAAAGCCAGAGAGAAAACATTTTCCAGTAGCTGCATGGGAATTCTAGTAGCATTACCAATAAATAATAAATACTTAAAATACAATAAAACCTACTTTTATATGTGCCAAAAGAGTCAATGAGTAGTAGAGGGTGTTAACGTACATGCTTTTCTTGACAAAAACCACGTAAAATGTATGTTGCTGTTTTGAACAGATGGCAGGCCGACAGAAAACTAACACTTTATTTTACACCACCTGGGTTTGATTCATAGCCCTTGGTACTGTTTTCCTGTAGCACAAGTTTGGCATTCATTGAATTCTATATAAAAGAGTAAGTCTTGTTCTCACAGTGTTAAAAAAAATCAATGGCTAACTGCTGTTTCATCTTTCAAGCTAAAAAATAGTGTCCTACCACAAAAGCAGGATAGAAGATAAGAGTGTTGACTGTCATGTCATTTGTTCCTTTGTATCCTTAATGGCCTTAAGATATCATTAGTATGTTTGGGTTTTAAGCCCCTCTGCATATAATGACCTAATTTTGCAAATACTACGAATGGCCAGCATAGGATTGAATTGTTAATAGACTTTTAAAATTGCCTGCTCAGTGTTTTTCTGGTTTCTTATGTATATTTACCACTTATTTTCTTTCTTTTGCAGATTGTAGCTTTGCGTGAACAAAATGCACACATTCAAAGGAAAATGGCAGCTGGGGAAGGGTCTGCTGAGTCAGAGCATATTGAAGGAATGGAGCCAGGGCAAAAGGTGCATGAAAAGGTATAAAAAATGTTAGTTGTCATTAAATCTAACAATCCATATGATAAATAATCAGGCTTTAGATTTTAGTAATGTGAATATTTTATGGGATGTCCATTTAGAGTATTGTCTGCCTACTGAAACCAAAATGAAAAAAATGAGCTTGTTTAAATGGAAAACAAATGCAAATTGACAAGTCCTTGCTCTTTGATAGGGTATTGAGTTAGATCCATAGCTTATAACTAACTTTTCTTGGAATTTTTTGCATTATGCTACAATTATGAGTACTATATGCTGCTGAGTGATCCTTTGTATGCTAGATAGAGAATAGCAAGGTGTACTGGCATGTATACGTGAAAGGCTGTGTATGCAAACATTCCTGAAAAAAGAAAGACCCTAAGGGGGTAACAGAGACACAAAAACTAGAAAAAGTAATTTTGCTCTGTGCTGTTATAGATATTCTTCCAATTTCTGCCCATGCTCGTATAGAGAGAAGTTACTTAGGACTCATTCAGTAGGAAATAGGTATGTGGAATTCAGGCCAAGTATTTGCTGCTAAATGCTGAGAGACAACAAAATGTAGACGCTGATTTAGTAAGAAAGGTTTTCTCCTTAGCCTTAGATTTCCACATTGATAAAAACCAAATTGAGCATCTTCCTCTCTTGCTTCAGAATTAATAAATTAAAATGATAGCGTAACATAACATTTGGCAGACAGCTGAAATCAGTAGAGCTGCTGCTTGGATCTCTAATTGTGCATTTTTGTGTAACGCCATATGATGAACAGTGGCATAAATCATACTCAAAAAAAATAGCTGTCATCATTACTTATTTTGTAGTCAATCCAGTTTACAATGGAGCACTCACAGTGCAGGCATTAATTTTACACATTTTGCAGTTTATGTGTTTTTCCTTTGATTAATATATATGGTTGAGAAACACACAGTAAACAAATGCTGTTCAGCTACACTTCCCTTTCTGCAAAATCTTATTTACAGACACATCTGTGAAATTTTGATAAACAGTGTTCACCCCTCTCAGTTGTGCTTTTAAATCCAACTACACTGTTGAAAAATCTCTGATTTCCCACTTTCTTTGCAAGCCATGTCTTCTGATTTGAGCCACTGGGTTCACTGCTTACAAGCAGAAGTAGGAATAAGACTATCCATCCTTAAGAAATCTGCATATTTCAACACTCATGAGAGGAATGAAATCCAACATAACATATCATTATCATCATTTTTTTAATTGAATGTTTCTAGAATATTATGTGCAGAAAACATCTGTGCTTCCTAATAAAAACAATTTAGGTTGGTTGGGTTAAGCTGAAATAAAGGCTTTTGCTCCTTATGGTAATGAAAGCCTACTGTGTAGGGAGTTATGAGGAGTCTGTATTGACACCAGATCAACCAGTGCACTCTAATTCACATCCTCTGCACTAGCTGCTCTCTACCTTTCTGCATTTACATTGGTCGCCATCATCAATTCCTTATTATTTAGGAAGGAGAAACTTAAAAGCTAGAAAATATAGAAATTGCAAAGAGGCCAACTTGCACAAAGAGCTTTAAAGGACTTTGAAAAATTGTTTCAAAGAACACCTGGAAAAGATCACCTGCTGTGGGAATTAAGATGCAACCATTTCTGTTATCAGATATTCTCCTACTTAGATCTGGCTTGCTGCCACCCAGATCCTTCACTGAATCTCTAAGGACAATTGCCTGATTTCCCCAAAGGCAAAAGCCAGGAAAGAGAGAGTTCCCAATGAATAAGGTGCCCAGTGGGAAATTTAGGGAAGCAACTAGGGATGCTGCAGTGGTGGGACTGTACAGCCAAAAATAAGATACTGTGAATAAGGAGCTTTTTTTCACATAAGTTCATTATTTCCTACTGATATTTATTTCAGCTTCCTCAAGAACCATGAAAGTTGAATTATTCAGTAAAAGTGTTTTTAGAAAGGATCATTTGCAAATTAAGAAGCATTAAAGTTGTTTTGAAAAAGAGGAGATCTTCTGAAGTTGTACACCTTAAATGTCCACCATTACAGTATCCCTTTCAGCTGTAATTGTATTTTGCTTGTTTCCCTCTCATAATGGAGAATATTCCTAAATTAGGTTCCACATATTATAATTCAAATATTAAAAAAATTGCAATAATTCTTTTTATTTCAGTGGAGTTTTATCAGAGATTAATTAGCCTGAGAAATTACTATTTGTATCCTCAAAGATGCCATGGATGTATATAAAAGTTTCCTGCTTGAGAAATCCAGTTCAGCATGGATTTCTGTTACACACAATCCTTAGCACAGTAGCTAAGTATTTAAGTGAAGTGTAAATCAGAGTGTTTGTCCTTGGAAGCACACTGGTCCTGCCTATAGTAAGGGCAGTTTTACCAACAGGTAATTCCCTTCAAAACAATACCAGATACAAAAGGAAGCAGATACATATACCAGGAGAGGTGAAACAGCCTGATATTTCTGGTGCCATGAAGATCAGATGCTGCATTTTATGAAGAATTCAGAGCCTTATATACTTACTTTTTGCAAGAGCTAAAGAGCTGGGTCTATTTTGCTTTATAAAAAACCTCTGGCTGTCACATTGAGCTTATTTAAGAATCATAGTTTTTTCTTCTTACTCATAACACTAACATATTACAATAATTAAATCAAATGTTCAAAATTAAATCAGTAAATTATGAATTAAAAATCTGTGGAAACATTGACAAAAAATTGTAAGCATTGTATTCTGTAGGAGTAAAAGGTGTTTTGCCAAGGCAAACACAGTGAGCTAAAATGTTCAGAGTGCAAATCTAAATACTATTTATAAAAGTAGCAAATGTCTTTCAGAATAATCATCAGAATCTGTTCTGGGTTTTGGACTTGATTATTTTTGAATTTTCAGTTGCATGTTTTTGTATGATTAATAGAAATCTGCAGAAAATTTCCAGTTTCAGCTTTTACTGAAAAAAGTTTATATCACATACACACCTTTGTTTTGGATGAATAAATAAAAAAATCTTTCAACTGACAGCACAGTGAAATGGCAGAGAAAGGAGTGAAGGAAGGACTTATGTATAAATGTGATGTATAACAATTATTGGGAGCTGTGATTCTTGTCCCAAAGCCTTTACTTTCTACATTAGAGAAATAATACAAAATACATTTGATTAGCAGATGATGAGTTTATTTACAATAAGTGTGGATATCTTTCTGTTTTTTAAATTATATCTTTCTGGATTAATATTGATAAAGCTAATTAAAGAATCATGTGCTGAGGGAGACTTAATGAATGTTGATGGCTTGACACACCTGGGGAGGTGAGGAGTATTGGGTGAAAGGAAACATGGATAGAAGTTGCAGCTGGGATTGGAAGCCTTCATGAATCTAAGGACAGTATGCAGTGTTCTTTCAGAAAGAGTCTAGGCAAGTGTTTTGTAAGTACTGTTCTGCTCAATAGTTTAGTTTGGCTGCATGACTATGAATACTTAGTGCCCCACACTGTAGCATACAGAACTGTGTTACTTATGCATAGTTTAAATGATAATCACTAGACTTATCAGGTCTTTGTCAAGAAAGCAGTTCTTTGATTGTTTCCTATATATTAGTGTCCCTTGCATTCATACAAGTTTCTTTTCCTTTTTACCTAGTAGAAACTCCTATATGCTACATGTTAAGTCTGTTAAAACGCATCCTTAAAGGGGGAATTTCACATTTCATGTCCTGTGATAGCTGTAAGCAAGGCTGACTGACCTTTGCTGGCTGATTTATTGCAAGGAGTTGCCAGGAGATAATTTCTAATAGTAGAATGGGGAGGCTACTAAGAAAAAAGATGCTAGTCAAAGCAAATGAGAATTGATTTTGTGTGTGTAGTTTGGTTGGAACAGCTAGATAGCCCTCAAAATAAAGGAGCAGTAACTGATTTCTGTCTTTGAGAGCTGAGAAAGTCTGCTAATACTGTAAAAGAGAAACACGCAGGCATTTTGGAAAGGACCAGCAACAAGAAGAAAAAATGCCCACCCATCAAGTGAACACCCTCCCTCCCATCCCTTATTTTGCAAAAGAACTAAAGTGGGACAGATGATCACAGGCATCAGAAAGATGAATAAGAGCTGAAAGCTGATCAGGAAACAGACATTCTAGATCTTTATATTAGTAACAAAACTAGGAGTCTTTTGATGGCTAAGTAGAAAGATCACTAAAGTGAGGATGTTTAGAGAGGAAAGTGCTAGAGAAGGTAGCTGTTTTTACACCAGTAGTGGGGTAGGGAAGAAAAATTTCAGTTGAGAGAATATTGTAATTGATAGCTAATTAGAGGTTGGAGACAATTCAGAGTAATTGAAGAGGAGACCTCTAATGATCAGATTACTGCCTGGCACAGACCAAAATGTGTGAAACAACCTAGAGAAGTAGAATGACTTTTAAGTACAGAGGCAATCAACCACTTAGAAATGACTATGACAGCTTAGGTTTGATGCTACTGGTTTTGGCATAGCTTTACACACTCTGGTTTGTGTGCTGGTTACATGGATGATGATCATGCTTGTTTAGTTTTCCTTTGGTTTTGGTCTATTGCATAACAAGGTGTCTCTATTAGTATCAGTTTCTTTGAATGTTTTGCATGAGGCATTTGAATGGAATGGCGTGGAAGAACTCTATACTATAGTAAAAAGCATCCTCTTATTATTCTGGTTATTTATTCTTACATCTCAAACAGCATCAGTAAGTCTTACTGTTTGCAGCATTGATTTTTACCCTTGCTTTCATAAAAGTAAATGACCTGTATTATTTAACTTGGTTGTTACTTTACTTACTGTTTTATATTCCTATGCTATAGAATTCAGAGAAGTTTATTTGACTTGTGAAGTAAACTGTATTTTTGTCTCTTCCTTGATGATGTGGCCTTCATGACTGGCTTTTCTAAGCTGAAAGGAGCATCTCCATCAATACAAAGCTAAAAATAAAAAAAAAAAATCTTCTTTTCTCTCAGGAGTTAGGACAAAATTTTCCAGATTTCCATGTGAGGACT